TTAAGGTCCCTTCCAACCCAAACCACTCTATGATTTGAAATATGTCTAACAGCTGGTTTCCTCTGATGATGACACAGTTGCTGTTATTAATGGCTTTCATAATGGCACAGATTATAGCATCTTATCCTTTATTTTAGGATAATTTAAAACTTGAAATTTAGGATGAGAAACAATAGAAAAGGAAAGATGACTCTTAGAATAACAGATCTTAAATCCCTCTTTCCTCTGAAATACAGCATGAATTTTGAGAAAGTAGCCAATCCTCAAGGATGTTGAAATTATGCTGTCACACATCCTAGAGCTTCAGACAAGCACAGGATTGTGAGCACCCAGCTTTACCTGGATTAATTTTTATAGTTCCATCTTCGCTCCAGTTCATCATTCATCACCACTGAGCAACACTCCAGACCTCATCCCGGCCTGAGCAAATTAGAAAATCTGAAAGAAACATGGGTCTCTATTTTTAAAAGCCCATTTGTCATCAGTTACCACTTAGAGAGATCTATTGATAACTGGCATTTATAAGATTTGATTATCCAAGTTTTTCAGTGCTTTGGCACCAATACAGGAAAACTGTAATACACATCTTTAGCCTTAAGCACATGAGCCATCCCTTTTTGAGTTGTTGCTGTGTCATGAGAGTGGGTAGACTTCACAGAGTAACTCAGCCAATGAAAATTTTTAGAGCTGAATATCGTCCTTACATTGACAGCAGCACAAGAGTTCTGGCACTATGTCATGGATCTGGTGGCTTTCTCCTAAGCTCTGCAGTCCTGGCAGCATATCCCTTTATATCCCAGCTCCTGCAGTTGTGCAGTTATGTGATACCCTCTTCTGCCTTAAGAGAAATTTCAAGGAAATGTGGTTCTGGTAAATACCTTGAAAAATTCCACTTAAAAGAGCAAAAAAAAGAAAACTTCCTACACAGCCCAGAAAATATCTTTAAAATTTAAAACTAATTTAATTTACAATACAGACAAAATACTGTTCACTTATTCTTAATAAAAGAGGAAATAAAAACAATCCACAATGTATTCTATTGTTACTATTTTTATTATTATTGTTGCTCTCACAATTAGAAAACACAGTTAATGCTGCTTCCATGAGGAGAGGGTAATTTGTTCTTTAGATGAATAAACCAAAGCTCTGCTGGGATATTTAATCAAACTCTGTCTGACTGATGAAACTGCTCCTGAGAGTAAAACAAAACAAAGTATGTTGTACATGTTAAAGTCATTAATCTCAGGTGGATTTTAAGTTTCCTGTTCTTTTTCCCCCTCTCCCAAATCTTGTTTTCTGCTCCATCTCCCTTACAGAGGAGAAAGTTGTGCCTGTTATAGGTCTGACCTGCTCTTGGGAACAAAACAATGGTGTTTCACAACCCCTGTCTGATGCAGGGAAAGGCAAATCCTTTGTCATGGGGTGGAGGTCTGACAACAGTTGATCCCAGGCTGGAATTTTCCTCTTTTTCCCCATATTACCAAGTACCTCCAGAGCCTCCTCCCAGCATTTTCCCTAAACAGGTAGCCCAGAGCCAGGCAGCACAAGTCTGTCTCACTTGGAGGATGATAATGGTTGTCTACAAGGATCTGTTTTCTAGCAGGAAGAGGGATGGTCCCTCAGGGAGTCTTTTATCACTTTCCTGACAGACACACTTGGATTCAGATTGTTTTCTTCCCTCACTCCCCTTCCTCTCACCAAGGGCTTTTCTAGCTGTATGTGAAATATTGTGGGCTGCCTGCTTTAGTATAATTGAGATATTTTCTATTTTTGTAGAATAAAATACACAATCAGATGGGAGGTTTTTTTATAATGAATGGCATTTGCCTCCCTTATGGAGAAACCTAAATGATATAAAACTGTAAGGGGTAAGAATGGGGGGGATTAATCAAAAAATATTAAATCAGCCAGATGTATATAGGGTCTAAAACCTCAGATCTGAAAATAGCATTAAGTCCAAATTGTTTTATTAAATCATATTTTTTTTCAAATTAATAAATACTACAAGGCCACCAGCATAATACTCCTCAGGACAGCCTGGCTGTTTCCATCAGGAGTAATACTGTAAAGCTGTGAAATAATAGTGTTTGTGGGAATAAACCAGATGTATTTTGCCAGGTAGTGTAAATCAACAGTATTGTATACTATGACATGGAGATAGGCCAAATTACATCAGCTGCTGGGATGTGGTAAGACATAAGAAGGGAACTACAGCATCACCTGACAAAGACGTTCACAGTAATTAAAGCCATTTCCTGCATAGCTGAAGGATCTCAGTGTTTCAGAGCAAAGCCTTGAAAACTGCTTGCTGAAGTCCTGAGAAAGGAAAGGAGGGATGCATTTTCCTTGCAAAGCTGGTTTGTGACAAATGTTCTCCCAAATATCTTTCACACAGCACATGCACAAAAATTATAGAATCATAGAATGATTTGGGTTGGAATGGACCTTGAAGATCATCCAGTTCGAGCCCCCTGCCACGGGCAGGGACACCTTCTTCTAGACTGCAAAAATGACTTGGCCATTCTGTTTTGGATCACTGTTGTATCGATAATTGAAATTGAGAGATGTGACACTTTTGTGGCCTCTCTGCTGATGCAAGGAATGAAGCATCAGAGACAGCAAGGAGAAAGATGTACTGTGGGTGGTTCTGCCAGTATGGCCCTGTATTATAGGCACTCTCTTTATTCCTAGTTCTTATTAAAAAGAAAGCAGAAAGTACTGTCTACTGCTCATAGAAAGACATTTTCTGAAAAAATTTGGAAATGCCAGAGCATCCAGAGGGGCATCGTAGAATCACAGAATGGTTAGGGATGGAAGGGACCTTAGAAGCTCATAAGACCTTAGAAGTGGTGAATCTTAGAAGCACTCCCTGCCACTTTCCTCTAGACCAGGTTGCTCCAAGCCCTGTCCAACCTGACCTTGGACACTTCCAGTGGTGGGACAGCCACAGCTTCTCTGGCCAATCTATGCCAGGGCCTCACCACCCTCACAGGGAGAAATTTCTTCCTAACATCTAATCTAAACCTACCTTATTTCAGCTTAAAGCCATCAGAGTGATGAGATGACCCCAGTTTGCTGGATGAAGCAGGCCCATGTAGCAAGGGAGGCTGCAGTTTATCAGAGCTTGCCCTGTGCATGATTTTCACCTTAGGAAGGTACATCACCCTGGGCACACTCCTAATGCAGCGTGCAGCTGCTCCAGAGAAGAAAAGAAGCCTGAAATTTATAAGTTATGGCAAAAGTAGTGTAACACTGTTAATTCCTAGACTAACAGCTTAAGGCATGGGCTGGGGCCACACAGACTCTTTTGTCAAAGAAGAGAAGTTCAGATGAAGCCCATGATGGATTATCTCGACAAGCCAGCAGAGATTTTGAACGTGGTTGCCCCAAACTGCAAAACTCCAAACAATTCAGCCATTTCAGGTCAACATCTTCAGCTACAGACATCTGTGGCATGAGATGACAAAGTGTGAGTTACCACCATGGCTGAAGTTCTGCTGTGAGCTCATTGCCCACCTGACAGACCTGTAGAGATGCCTAATTGGTTTACTCACTTCTTTTAATTACAGGTGATGACTTCTGACATGAGAAAGCCAGTCAAGGATCACAGGTCTGACATGGGAGGAGTGAAATGCAGCTGAAAATAGTGTATGTATAGACCATTTCTTCCTTTTTACTATTTTTTCACCAAGCAGAAACACTCATGACATCAGCAAGGGAGCAAGAAAGAGAGTCATTACAGAATGGCATTGAAATGCTCAAATTTTTCTTCAGTCAGAACATCCGTGCCTTGTTGGCATCATCAGAAACTGGAAATAAAAATAAAATTCCTTAAAAAATGAGAGTAGATGATTTCTTTACATATCAAATGAAGCCAAATTCTGGCATTGGAGAGCAGTGGGATTTGTGCCACCAGCCTGTCTGCATGTCAGCCTAAAGACACCCACCACTCATCACTGCACTGCAGAGATGTTTTACTCCATCAGCTTTTATGAGGTGACAATAACACAAACCACTGCTAAACAATGAAAGGTCTTTTTTTGCCTGCTCATAACTGGGGGAATGAAGGAGGCAACAAGACCAAACCCATTACAGCAAAGCAAAATAGCTGAAGAGAACAAAATACCTCTGATTTTGCTCTTATAGCACATGATGCTTTTCTCTTCCAATTCCCCAGGGCTGCTCATAGACATGTCAGAGGCAGTTGGCCCCTGGGGATTGACTGAGTGGGGAAAAAAAGAGGATTTGGAGAAAGATTGTGGTGTTACTGACATATTTCCCCCTAGGAAAGTGACAGAGACTTTGTGTAGGAGTGATTTTTTGGCTGATTATAGCATTTTGCATGGGGTTGGGGTGCTCAAGAATGATCTGAAAGACATCAGAAGCTCTGCTGCCTTCTGTTCCTGGAGCAGCATCCTTCTCCAACATCACTTTTTGTAATCAGTACACAGAGCTGGATGACCACTAAAAAAAAAAAAACAACCCAAAACAAAAAAATCCCCCCCCAAAACCCTAAACAACAAAACCAAACAACGACAAAAAACCCAAACAAAAAAAGCCAAAACCCCAAACAAACAAAACAAAACAATAACAAACAAAAAAAGCAAATAAGGGAGCCAAGGCTATGTTAAAAACACCCCTACACAGCAACTCCTCTCCATGTGTGAGAGCCAGAAGCCAACCACCCACGACATGAGAGGTATGAGTCGTGTTTGTTATTAAGCTCCTCAGGGGCACTAGGAAATTTTACTAATGAGAGTGATCGCTGATTAAAAAAATAAAATAGCAGTGGTGACTCTTCCTTTCTCCAAGTGTTCTGTTTCATTGTCTTGACTGTATCTTGGCTAATTCTGCTCAACATTTAGAGGCTGGGGAGTCTGGGAATAAAGAAACTTATCTATCCCTATGCCAGTGAGTGCCTCAAACCATGTTCTTTTCCCATGCTTAGGAGGAAAATTAGAATTGTTTTCCAAGTAGAAGTGTGAAACAATAATCTAACATTTTGCTGTTGCACCAGTAACTTCAGCATTTATTTCATACTATTGTTAATGCTTGTTTATAGTATAAGGAATATATTTATGTAGGAAGTAAAGTAGATGAAAGCACAAGACATAAATATTTCTGTATATCTGCATACAAAAGAAAATATGTACAGCCACAGATAGTGGTTCTCTGCTGTGTCAGGGCAGAGCCACGTGAAGGACTGACACGTTCCCATTCTTCCTGCTGTGAATAGCTGCTGACTTCCATGGATGTACTCCCTACAGCCGGGACTGCTCCACTCTGCAGTATCCTGAGGTTGGACCAATACTCTTGTGGGGGAAGAATCCAGTGGCTTATTTCCCCAAGGATTTGGTGGGTCAGTGTGGAAGAATGTCAGTGACTAAGGGTATCACACCCAAAGGGCAAAGAGATAGAGAGCAGGAGCTTGCTTTTTTTTTTCCTTTACTCTCTCACTGGACTTGGATTTCACTCTTTTATTTTATCCTAAAGGCTCCGCTGCTCTCTTGTGGGCCCCATGAAGTCCTTCTCAGCCTACCCTACTCTCACTGCCTCCAGGATTTCAGAGGATTTTTGTCATGGCTGAATTTTGTCCAGCCTGGACAAATCAAGGATATATTTTCCTTCAGCAATCAGCTCAAAGTTGCAGACCTGTGTAAAAGAAAGATTAAAATTAGTTGCTCATTTCAGGGGATTGACCTGAAATCTTTCCACTTTTTTGTCACTCAGAGTGGATGATTCCTTGCTGAAAATTAAGTCTTTGGCAACAAAGGCAGTTATTGCTGAAAAGTTGTAACATTTTCCCTTGTGGGATGGTCCTATTGGAGACCCAGTACCTGTGCTAGAAGGCACAGGCAGGTGTGAGCCTTAGTTACTGTCAAACAAATGTTGCCTTTTTTCCCCCCAGGGAAAGTTTCTGTATTTATTCCTCAGAATACTAAGGCACTTGATGGCTGGACATCATTGGCAACCATAGGAAATATTTTAGAAGAAGATATCATCCCAAATGAAGTTTTGTCTTCTCAGAGAGCATTTTATTGGTGAGGAGAAACATTTGTGGGTTTCTTGCTTTTTGGGAGGTTTTTTTACGTTGTTATTTTCACTGGTGTGATTGTTGCTTTTCCTCCTACCATCTCTCCTCAAGTCTGTGTCTTTACAAGATAAATGATGTCTAGTCGAGGAAATGTCTTCTCTGAACAGTGCTGGGGTGCTGCTGCTGCCTTAGCTCCCAGGAGTGCAGAGGAGCGTTTTCATTTGCACACATATCTCTCGACAGTCCTCTCGCACTTTTTGCAGGTCACGTAGCAGCACCAGTGATATTTGCAGTGGCAACGCTCCACCACTTTGTCCATGTAGGGGTTGTAGCCTCTGCCACAGCACATCAGGTCGCAGCTGTCACTCCCATTGGAAGTCTTGTTGCACTGTCTGGAAGAAGGAAAATGCTGTGAGCAAGTGCAAATTCCTGCTGGGTTTCCCAAACCACTGCTGTGTGGCGTTGCTGGGCCTGACAGCTCTGCAAGGGTGAGGCCAGCACAGCCAACAGCCCCCTGTGCCTGCAAGGGTGCAGGGGGAGCCCTGGGCTGCAATCACACCACCTGCTATGGCACCCAAAATAACCTTAAACTCCTGTTCTGACTCTCAGTTTGGGCCTGGCAGCACCCAGGCTGCTTGTCTGCTGGCCCACACGAGCAGACAAGCAAAACTATTGGAGTACCTTCACAAGAAGAGTAAATCATTCTAAACAGTGTTCCCAGGCAGGCTCCAAAACTGTCTGAAAGGAGCTGGAAGAAGATGACATCCTAAAGAACAAACACTGGTATTTGTCCACCACTGCCTAACCTGAAAAGGGCAAAGGAGGAACCCTACAGCCAAATAGTATTTGAACAGTCTCCATGCCAAGGATCCCAGGCTGGGAAGAATCCTGAGCCATTGTGCAGCACTGATCCTGTCAGGGAAATCACAATCAGTGCTAGCAGGGCTGGACTGTGCACCTTTTTCCCTTTGATTTTCCCCCAACACGGCATGGGCAGCTGGGTGGTTGGCCCCAAAACACCTTGAGTCCTTACCCAGGAACAGCAAGTGTGGCAGGAGCACAGGGAAGGATGACAAGTCACCAAGAGTCACACAGACTTTCACAGCTCGTTTTGCTTCTGCTTTTTATTAAAGCAGACTCAGTGGGATAAATCAGCTATTGTGCTGGGTGCCCTCATTTTTTCTGCTTGCCAGTGAACGGTTTAAGTTTTTCAGAAGCAACTCCTTAACTGAGGAATCTCTTTCATTGATCCATTGATTACCATTTCATATACGTCCTCAAAAACCATCTATCCCATTTCCTAAAATACTCCAATATTCACTGGACGTGAAAGTGCACCAGACACTGAATTTTGAATGCAATGAACCATGTCCTAGAGACACCATTTTTCCACAGACAGTAAAGACTACCCAGGATGGAGGTGTTCCTGTTTGGTCAGATGCTTGGACTTTTTTTGGTGTGTAACCAACACCACAGGGCTGTGAATTTGATGGCATTTGAAACTACTGTAAGAAAGGTGGTTTAGTGAGTGGGTAATTGCTGACATCTCTCCTAAATCTTATTCCGTGTGGCTATTTTGTGGGTATTTTGGACAGAAACACTCTAAGGCTTCTTTGGGGCAGGAAGAGGAGAGAGAAGCATAAACTGGACCCTTGAGCTAAGCAACTGTTAATAGATTAAAACAAATCCATGACAATTATAGGAATTGCTCATGAGGTAATGCTTTAGGAGGAATTATGGGATTAGTGAAGTGTTGAGATTGTGTTCTTGCTCTTCTTTAAGTTTAGTGTGTAAAGGCCCCCAAACTCACTCTCATTCAGAGCGTATGTAAATATTTAAAAACCTTTTAAAGCCTCTACTGAAGCTGAAGTGGGCAGCCACACTGAATGTATTTGCCTAACGCTGAACCAAAGGCCTTGGTAGTGCCCCTGTGAACTGGGGCCCCTCCACAAGAAATCTCCAAATGACTCCTCATAAATGTGGAGTATTAATGTGTTAATAAATGCATTAAGTATTCAGAGCAAAGGTTCAAATATATACATGTGTTGACATTAGAAGAGGGGAGGGTATTTGTGAGCCTTACTCAGATTTGCTAGTGGATGGAAATGTTTCCTGGAGGTTCACCTAGGGAGGATGGGGAATCTGCAGAAGTGTGGCAAGGGATGTGCAGTGCATCCATGTCACTTCATGCTGGGAGCTCACTGAAATGGCCAAGAACAGGAATACGGGTCCACTCTGACTCCAGCTCACCACTGAGGACATTCACTCCCCAAATATATAAAGCACACAGCAGTGATATTTACCCCCTTCAAACAGAAAGCAAAACTCTTCTACCTGCTATACTGGGACCTGGGATTCTCTCTTTCCCTCCATCCACTCCTGTGGTTTGCCAAAAAAAAAAAAAAAAAAAAAAAAAAGAAAAATAAAAGGAAAAAAGAAAAAAGTGACTCTAATAGAAAATATGCCTTCCCATATACCTTCCCCATTGCCCACAGTCTGAAACAAAGAAAGGAAAAAAGAAAAATCTTATTAAATAAATCCTCAAACTTCCCTCATTTTGGTATCAGGAAATGGGGGCATTCAGAATGGGTGGGTTGCATAGCCAAAACAAAGTTTTGACCCTCTCATAAACCTGTGTCGGCTTTTAGAATTTACTGACAATGCAAGAGAGATTTTGTTTTCTGTTTAAAAGCATAGGCTTGGATATGAGTTAGATTCATTTTTCATTAAACAACATGAAGCAGGTAGTTTCTCAGCCAGTGGGGGAAGACAGAGAACTCCAAAGACTGGAGTTTACCCACAGAAGCAGCCCTGAACATCAGCTTTCAGAGTCTATAGTTGTGATCTCACCAGGCTCCCTGCTGATGGGTTAAGTTCAATCTCATTTGTTTTGGGCCTAGTCCAGCACAATTCCAGCAACTCAGAGAAATGCCCTCCTCCTGAGCCTTGGAGAGAAAACATGAAGGCAGGCGACGGCGTCATAACACAGCACTGTAACCTCTAGAAGCACTTGGAAGACTGTTGAGAAATTATGCTCCAGCTGTAATCCCAGCCAAAGTTCTGGCTCAATAACAGCTTTTACCATTGCCACAGTGCTTATTTCTTCTTTAGGAAGGGAGAAGGTCAGCAGTGTTGTCTAGACAAATCCCACTTGGGATGCCTGTCCAAAATGTCCCCTTTCCAGCCCTCATTTGCAGAAGCACTGCAATACATCATACAGCCTCATCTTGGGGGTGGCTCCTCAGCAGAGGTGAAGGACACCCCAGAACTTCTAAGAGTCTTCCCCCAGATGAGTAGAGATTTTAATTTTAAAAGTGGGAGATCATAAAATTATTTTGGTTGGAAAAGACCTCTAAGATTGATGAAATCCAACTTAGCAATGTCACACAACTTCACTGTGAATCCCTATTTACTCTGTCCCATCAGCAGATAGAATGATACGGGTTTTTTGTTTGGTTGCACAGCTGGAACCTGGGATCCAAATTGAGGCCAACTCTGTACTGCCACCCACAATTATGACGTATAATGGCAGGGATGTAACCTCACTCCATCAGTCCTATTGATAAGGACTTCTTAATGAGGATATCTAAAAAGTCATTCTGGGGCACAGCACTGCCTTCCTGGGCCAGCGCATCTCCCAGTGGATGAGGGAGATGCTGTTACAGGAGTAAAACATAAATCTAAGCACTTTCTGTAGTTCTTTTTCTCATACACTGCCAGCACCTGGGCTGTTGCATTAGGGATGATAGAAGGGATGTTCCTTCCTTAACATCTCATCCCCTTGGCTGTGTGATTCCCTCAGCCCTTTCTGACCACAGGGAAACCATCTGCCTTCATGAACTCCAGCAGTCCCAAATCCCAGAACACAGTACTGCTTTTTTTCTCTTTTAAATCAAATTCCTATTTATTTCTTTGATGTCCTTTGCTCTAGTAATGGAGCAGCATATAAAAGAAAGAAAGAGAAAAATAATTCAAATCCCTCAGGAGATATATAACACAATAGACATTCCTAAAAATATATCAAGGTCACAGCTTTATGTAAAATTTTCAGGGCAGAATCTTATCTACTTTTAAATTGCATTCTCATCCACAAGGAATGACTGGAGACTGACACTAAACAACTGTACGAGAAAGAGTTATCAGCATATGTCACTGAGGAGATGTCAAGAGAGATCCTGGAATTAGCCTGTATTTTCATTAATGAGAAGTTGAGAGTGAGCTTAAAAATTTGGGGATAATGCTAGGGAAGAAGGAGTTGAGGATATTTTGTGACAGTGAATTAAAATGCAAAGTAAGCAACACACTTTGAGAAAGATCCAGCTAAATGTGGAATGTTTCCAGGAGAGCCACAGGAGCAGCTCAGAAAATAGAAAACAATGAAGGAACCGATTTAAAAGAGAAGTATGTTAAAAGAGATGTCTTCCCCTCTATAAAAAACTATTGCTACAAGGGGAGAGAAAAAGTGTTATTTATATGCTAAGGAAAGAGGACAAGAAATTATTAGTTTTGTTTTAGGTTATGTTTAGTTAAATTTTGATTAAGAAAATCCTAACACTGAGGATAGTAAAACCCTGGATCAGATTGTTTAGGGAAACTGCTTTTAAGACCAGAGTAGAGAAACGTCTTCAGTAACAGCCTAGGTGGTGTCAGCTCAGTCTTGCTCCTGAAAAGATCAAGGTCCATGGAAAATCATTCCCAGGCCAAATTTTCTCCAACTCAAATGCCATTTGGTTGCAGAGGGACTAAATATGTTTAAGAGAGCTAGATTCATTATCCATTGCAATTTTTCTGTGTGAAATTACTGTTTTTACAAATAAATTTATTATTCACAAACCTCTTCAGCAAACTTTATGATCAAATCCAGGTCTCTCAAAGTAGAAAGAATTCAATCTTCCCCACACATTAACTAAGATAACAAAAAAATGCATAGCTGGCCAGCTACTTACTGAAATGGGCACTAGCTGCAATCATGTTGCCCTGAGAAAGAATGAATAACACCTAAATAAGGTGGGAGGAACAGAAAGTGAATGTTTTTCTGACTTTCATAAAATCATAGAATAGTTGGGGTTGGAAGGAACCTTAAAGGCCATCTAGTCCACCTGCCCCCCTGCCATGTACAAGGGTATCTTTAGCTAGAGCAGGTTTCCTCCAGTTCTTCTGGGACACTCACAAAAGCATTATTTGCTGTTTCTTATTCAGAATTTGTCAGATCTCATAAAAAAAAATGGTACTGCATCTGATAACTGTTCCAAAACTATCATTGAACACATTACAACTCACTCAAAGCTCATCTTATCCTGTGCCCTCACTAACAGAAACTAAAAGAAGCTGCAACAAAAAACAAACAGCAAATGCTGTTGTCTGCCCATAACTACTGCTCTTCCCCGGCTTC